GTGCTGCGACCACCCCCATGAGGCATTTGCCACCATCCATGAATCAGTATGAAGATAAAGCACTGGCCGCCTCTCATGTTCGGCAACATCTAAGGCTGGCTGGACAGCCTTTACGTCTGCGAACTGCAAACTGACATGAGTCTCCTTTTCCTTCGGTGGCCTTTGCCACGTAAGGCTCCACACAGCAGCTTTTCATCTGCGATGCTTTCCCACAGTACAACATGATTAGTCTGTGAACAGGGTAAATTTCTTTCCAATTTTTGGTAATTCACTGTATGCTTCTTTAGCACGCGATACTTCCCCTGATTATGTTCCACATTTCTTGCTTTCAGGCCAGTGCATAATCACCTCTAAGATTCCCAGCTGACTAAGATTCCCCATCCGTGCTCACTGTGTAATCAGCGTGCTCCGGTAACTCCAAGTGGCATCTGTGGCATGATGGGCAGAGGGAACCTTTCCCTTGAACATCCGGTTCAGCACTGGCAGTCGAGGTTGCTAGAAGGAGCTGCGTTTCAGTACCGACTGCTTCGGAAGCGGCCCGAACCCCCTCATTCGCAGCAAAGATCTTCTTTTCAGCACTCTTCAGCCCCCTTGTACGCTCGACTCCGGAAACCCAGGGGTCGGCCTCGGGTCTCTCCTGAGGCTCTTTGCCACAGACTCCATGTGGGACTTTTCTCTCCGGCAGCAGTATAGAAAATGTTCTTTACGACCTGTCCTGTCCATCCTGGCCCCAGGGCCGCAGCATGGGCTATCTCCTGTATAGCCCATATATCTCATAAATATATAGATATATATGTATAGCTCATATATCTCCTCCTGTAAGCCTACTGCTGCTCAGGGCTCCACGTCAAATTATGCTTCTTCCATGTCTTACAATGAGGCTGTAGTTTGGAACACGTGTTCTCCAAAAGCCCGCTGTGGCCAGAAAAGATGGTGTCTCTGTCTTGCTACAGGGTGGAGACGTAGCAGCGATTTAGGCGGTCGCATGTCCTGGGATGTGACGACGCCCATCGTGCCATTTTAATCCTAGGAACTGCTTTCCCTAGGCGGGCCCTTTCACTTCGCGTCACTTCATAGCGAAACGAGTTAGCAGAAGAATTTGGATTATTCACTGCGCTTTCCTGAAAACTTCTGCTGTACCCCCCACACAACATCGTCAATAGACTGCAGATGCCTGGGAGCGCCTCCCTGTTCCAATGCGGTTTGTATCGACCCACAGCAAATGGTTAGGCTGTGTTTCCACCTCTGAGGCAAACAGTTGCAGTTGTACCGAGCGCCCCTGGAGATGAAAGCAAACTGGCCTGCGTTCTGTGGCCAAAGAAAGGGAAAACAAGGCATTAACAATGCCAGTGTTGGCATACCACAAGGCTGCTTGTGACTCCAGTTCGTACAGGAGTTCTAACGTGTCCGGCACAACGACCCTCAGTGGGGTGTGACTTCATTCGGGCCGCGGTAGACTACCGCCAACCTCCACGGGCTTGGCACACTTGCCATTTTGGGGACGTCAAAAGTTGAGTGAGGTGGGCTTATTGCTCCCTGACTCTTTAGCTGACGAATCACCTTACGAACGGGAAGCGAGGAATCCGTGCGGGTGCGGTACTGCTATCTGTGCTATGCTTTTGTAGCAACTGGTACCTGTTGTTTTCCACTTGCACTTTTGAAAGAATCCGAAAAGATGTTTAGCAGACAGAGTTTTAAATGTCGGACCGACTCAGCTCCGTTAGGGAACGATAAATGAACTTCTTTTATGGAACAAACCTTACGCACTTTTGCACTGTGCAGAACTTCGTAAACTGCAGTTCCTCACCGGAAGCGCAGCAGCAAATCGAATCGAGCACGACTTCTAAAGTGAAGACTCACATCACGGACACTGGAAATACCAGCAAAGCTTCTACACGAAGCACATACTTACTATATTAACTTATAGTTTTATTTAACTTATAGTTTATAGTTATATGAAACTTATAGTTTCCTAGGAGGTTTCTGGAATGTACGGAGGATAACTTTCTGATGCGGGTGATGAGAGAGCCGTCAAGAGGATCTGCCTCACTAGACCTGCTGTTCACAGAGGTCTGGTGGGAGATGTGGAGGTCAGGGGCTGTCTTGGACATAGTGATCGTGAAATGGTGGAGCCAGGAGGGGGAACGGCGTAACTGCTACCTTGGAATTCTGGAGGGTGGACTTTGAATTATTCCTAAGAGAAGCAGGGTAAATCTCCTGGGTTTCAGTCTTATAGAGTAAAGGGGTCGAAGATGGCTGGTCACTTCTCAAGAAGAAATCTTAAAGGCACAGGAGCTGGCTGTCCTTCGGAGATGCTAAATGAGCCAGCAGGGAAGAAGACTAGCGTGATGAATAGGGAGCTATTCTTGAGACTCCGGGAGCAAAAGAGAATCTATCTCCTGTGGAAGAAGGGATGGGTGACTCAGAAAGAGAACGGAGCAGTTGTTAAGATGTGTAGAGAGAAAATCAGAAAGGCAAAAGCCCGGCTTGAACTCAACCTGGCCGCTGGGGTAAAAAGGAACAAGAAACTCTTTTACCAATACAGTAACAGTAAGAGGAAGACTAAGGAGAATCTCCATTCTTTACTGGATGAGGCTGGGAATGTGACCGCTGAGGAAAGGAAAAAGGCAGATGTTCTGAATGCCTTCTTCATGGCTGTCTTTAAAGGTCAGACCAGTTATCCTCAGAGAACTCCGCTCTCTGACCTGGTAGTCTCAGCTGCGGTGCGGACTGAACCCCCCCCGATTCAGGAGGACGCCGTTAGAGACCTACTACTCCAGCTGGACTGTCGTAACTCCATGGAGCCGGATGAGATTCACCCGAGAGCGTTGAGGGAACTGGCGGAGGCCGAGCCACTTGCCCTTATCTGTCAGCGCTCCTTGTTGACTGCTGAGGTCCCAGGAGACCGGAAGCTTGCCGACATGATTCCCATCTACAATAACAGTTTTAAGGAGGGTCCGGGGAACTGCAGGCCCGTTAGCCTGACCTTGGTGCCAGGGAAGTGTACGGAGTGGACTGTCTTGGTGGAGATCACGCGGCATGTACGAGACGACCGGGGGATCGGGTCTAGCCGGCACGGGTTCGTGCAAGGCAGGTCCTGCTAGACCAACCTGATCTTGTACGATCTAGTGACCCATCTGGGAGATGAGGGAAAGGCTGCTGATGTAGTCTACCTAGACTTCAGCAAAGCCTTTGACACTGTCTCCCACAGTATTGTCCTGCAGAAGCGGGCAGCCTGTGGCGGGTACGCTCTTGACTGCATAAGAAACTGGCTGGAAGGCTGGGCCCGGAGGGTGGTAGTGAGAGCTAAATCCAGCTGGCGACCTGTCAGGAGTAGCGTCCCCCAGGGGTCGGTGCTGGGGCCTGTCCTCTTCAATATCTTTATTGATGACCTGGATGAGGGCATTGAGTGCCCCCTCGGTAAGTTTGCAGATGACACCGAGTTGGGTGGAAGTCTCGATCTGCCTGGGGGTAGTGAGGCCCTACAGAGGGATCTGGACAGGCTGAAAAGCTGGGCTGAAGCCAATGGGATGAGTTTCAACAAGGCCAAATGCCCGGTCCTGCACTTTGGCCGCAACAACCCCAGGCGACATACAGGCTTGGGGCAGAGTGGCTGGAAGACTGTGTAAAGGAAATGGACCTGGGGGTATTGATTGATGCTCGGCTGAACGTGAGCCGACAGTGTGACCAGGTGGCCAAGAAGGCCAATGGCTTCCTGGCTTGCCTCAGGAACCGTGTGGCCAGCAGGAACAGGGAAGTGACTGTCCCCTGTCCTCGGCTCTGGTCAGGCTGCGCCTCCAGTACTGCATCCGGTTTGGGGCCCTCGCTGCAAGAAAGACAGTGAGGCCCCGGAGCGGGTTCGAAGAAGGGCGACAAAGCTGGAGAGGGGTCTGGAGCACAGGGCTTATGAGGAGTGGCTGAAGGAGCTGGGATTGTTCAGTCTGAAGAAGAGGCGGCTCAGGGGAGACCTCATTGCTCTCTGTAACTTCCTGAAGAGAGGTTGCAGTGAGCTGGGGGTCCGTCTCTTCTGTCATGTAACTGGTGATAGAACTAAAGGGAAGGCTTCGAGCTGCGCCAGGAGAGATTTAGGCTGGACGTTAGGAAATACTACTTTTCTGAAAGAGTGGTCAGGCACTGGAATGGGCTGCCCGGGGAGGTGGTGGAGTCACCGACCCCGGAGGTGTTCAAAGAACATTTGGATTTTGTGAGGAGGGACGTGGTTTAGGGAGAAGTATTGGTGATAGGTGGATGGTTGGACTGGTGATCTTGAAGGTCTTTTCCAGTGTTGGTGTTTTGGTGATTCTGTGATTATGATTCCTTGTCGATGAGCAGATGCCCAAAAGGTAAGTGGTTTCATGTCCTATTTTGAAAATCTCTTCTTACTTTCCGTGTGACGTGAATATCTTATATGCTACGGTTTCCCTTTCCCAAAGTTATCTGTTACCTCTCTTAACCTCGGCAAAGTTATATTCCTCCATCTGAACACAAATCAGAACATATGAGTTTGGAGACTCAGTAATTAGAAAATCACAATATTATGAATAGGCAGAGGAATCATAATTAATTACTGCTCTGTATATCTTTAAAGGTGTTTCGAACTTTTTGGTGAAGAATGAGATCTCGGGCTTGTTCCACTGTTACACTGGGATGGAATCCGCTCCCCACGCCCTCACCTAGAGGTTCAGGGGCCTTGCAGACGCTTGTATTTCCAAGTATTTTAAGTTAAGTTAAAATAAATTAATAAAAACCAACAAACAAATACAGTTAAACTAAAATAAAATAAATACAATTTCATGAGTTTAGAGAAAGTGAAAGCATTCTGTCAGCCCCCGGCTCCACAATCTTTGAAAGACTTCTACACGGTTCTATCGGTATTTCCTTTCCCTTGCTTAACAGTTCCATACACTTATATTGGAAACCTAATTTGCCTGCGCTGGGATTTCAAAGGAGTTGAAAGATGTTAATTTCGAAGTGAGAAAATGCAGCGTACTAGAGAGGAAGTGAATGATCCAACCGCAGCTCCTTCTTTGCCAAATAAACTCCTGAGTACTTTACAAAACATGCTGGCAGATAGCACGTGCCTTCAGGCTCAAAATAATCCCGACAAACTAAACTTCGCCATGTCTAGATCTGTTTAGGCACAATATTTCATCACTCTAAAACTGCATATTCATTATTTTATGCAGATGACTAAGTTATAGTTTTGCTGTAGTAATGTAATACCTTGTCCACTGAATTAGAACGCCCAGACCTCTTCAGTTTGTTTAATGCTCCCATTTTCCTCAGGGAAATCTGGAGGATCGCTGTGTTTATATAAGCTGTCCAAATCCAAGTTTCGAATTAATGATTCCGTTATCGGACAAAGGCAGACCCAACGCGTTTTCCAGATGGCTTCAAGCACCAATTATCTGAGATTTTCCAGGAAACCCGAACTTCAGGGTGAAATTGCCAGAGAAAAAAATACTAACCTGAGTTTGGGACATCCCCCAGCTGCACTGTCACCTTGGTCCAGGTAAGGCCTGACTTCCCAAACGCCGTGCGTACTGCTGGATGTAGCGGAACTCAGACAGCATTCACATGTGCCGTCGGGCCGTGCACACTGCTTGTCTCAAAATCACGATTCCACTGATCTCCTGCTAGAAAATAATTTACAGAAAGAAGGCAGATATCTCACTCACCTCACACAATAAAGGCATTCAAACATACGTATTATCCAGAAGCTCTCATTAGCATCGCTGGCCAATTCTGGTTCGGTTTTTGTATGAGCAGAAGCGTGGGCTTCCTGGGAAAGAGCTTCTGATGATCGTACCACAATAGCTGGTCGCAGAACTGGTAGCCGGGTAACAAATCCGTCGCCCTCAAAAGGAACGGTCTGCGGCTGGAACAGGAGGCAGATTCTCTCGTACCACGTCCTCAGTTCCTGAATACTTAGTCACCGTGCTTTTGCCACAGTTTTGTTACACACAGACAAATGGACATTTGTGCAATCCTTTTGGCCTGACGAACATTTGACGGCAGGGTGATTAATGCCTTCTCCTTGGTATATTACTTGTTACCTTATAATTTTTTGTTCTTACTCAAATCTGTCCATCTGCCTGACAGTCTGCCCAGAACGCCTTATGAAAATAGTCAAATAAAATTAAAACAGCACGGGGAGGGAAAGGGTACAGAGAAGAACGCTTAGCAGGGGAGCTAAGCGTCAGGTAATAGCTTGACTCGTTCTTCACAAAAGCTGAGCAGAATATGGCAGCCTTAACGTCAGCTGCCAACTTCAAAAAACCTCACACCTGTGACAAGAAACTCTCCCTCCTAATTATACCTCGACACTGTCCTCTGTAACAGAGTCAGTATTTTGCCAGGAATAAACATCGCTATTTCTTTCCTAGGCAAGCTGCTTGGCTGTTTCAATTGTCTTTTAAACATTAAGGAGCTGGAAACATTCGTCACATCCTGTGCTGTTTACACAGCATCACGCAGTCCCCTTTGAAACCAAGACGCTTTACGGCAAGCTCGACACGCGGTTCCATCCAAACATTTGCCTCTGTATTTGCCAACCACAAACAAATTTCTGCAAACGCTGAGCAAAGCTTTAAAGGTTCTGACAGCCACCCAAAGTTGTGCTAGCACGACGGCCGAGGAAAGGTGGTATCAGGACACTCGGCCTCCACCGCTACTACCCGGATGTGGGAAGAGACGTGAACGCAAAGCGCTCACTGCTCCGCACAGCACAGCTCCGGGCAAAGACTTGCTGCCCGGCCTCTACAACCCTGCTCTTCCAAAGCACTGGAGAGCGCAAAGAGCACAAGGACGGTTAGAGAAAAGTGTGAAAGGGTAACTTACGTTGTATAGAGAAACACTGGGAAAGGACTGCTGTGGTTTCTTCAGTATTTTACACTGACGTTGGAAGAGAAGGCAGTCAAAATAGGACACCTACAGAAATCTCTCTTCAATTCTCTCTCTCTGTTCGTTTACTCTCCAGTCGCTGCGCCTGAAGAAATGCAACAGTCAAAAGTTTATCCCCTGCTATTTCCGAGCGATGCGGCCTACTCTCCTTGACCATGTACCGATCATGTAAAATCAGACAAAAGCAGGGAAGGTGAGAAGCAATCTAGCTTGAGCCTGAAACTTCTGAACTGGGCGTTTTCTGTAAAAGCTGCTTTAGTGTCAGAAGCTCCCATCGCCACGCCAACTTGCAGAGCGTGGACTCATCCATCTGGTTTTCGTAAACTGCAAATTACAAGCGAAGCAGGGAACGAACACAGCCCGGTTTTCTCTGAACTCCCCAGGCACCAGCCTTGCAAGTAACCTGAGGTACAAAGGCTTTGTGAACAGCGGGCCAGCCCACGCCGCTCTGCTCTCCGTCACGCGTGTGGCTGGGCTGGTGGGCTGGCTAACTCCCCAGGCATCCCCCTGCTCTGCGAGCGGCGCGCTGCCCAGGGATGTGCCGAGCGGCGCGCCCCCCCCCGGCGGAAAAAAATGAGCCTGCAGCATCCTTCCCAGCATGAACAGCCTTTTCGGAAAGGGAATTTAAAATAAACACGAGGTTAAATAAATAAAAAAGACAAACTGTGCGTTACTTAAAACAGTTCAACAGTTTAGGAAGTCAATTAGAACAACCTGATGTTTATTAATAGCGAACAGAACGCAGGCGCCCGTACTTCAAACATTTCCAGGTGGGAAGGAAATACACTGTGGGTTTTTTTGATTTGCTGTTGTATTTTCCTCTCAGAATTAGTGGAGAGCTGCCTGACGGAAAACCTCTGAGATGATCCTGCCCATTGATTACCACAACGAGCATTTTAATCAAAAGCATCATAAAGTCTCTAAAAGCACCCATTCAAAGCTGGTGACTCCAAGCTCCTAAAGCCATGTTCAATCTCTATTTTCAGCTACTTCAAGGTCCTGATTAAATTGAAGTGCCAGAGGCTTGAGGGCTCACACACCTTTTTTTTTTAGACAGTTCAAGGTCAGTAGTAAACTGCATTGTTTTTCTAACACAAACACAGAGGAAACTATTTCCCCCTTGTCTATACCAGATAAAGAAGTTTTGTGTTACTTGAAATCAGAAAATGTTATTTTTGTGTTCTTTTTCTTTAAAATATCATCTTGTATTTAGCCTTTCGTTTCACCTGAGGACTTCTGCAAGCTTTTCTACTGGGAACGATCTCACTCCGTTTAACACTGAGAACCTCCAAGGGAGGCAGCTTTCCTTAAAGCGTGAATCGGTGAGTCGTTAACAAAATAAAAACACCGCTGTAAACGGTCTGGGCTCGAAATTCCAAGGCTTGTCACTTGCTCCATTTCTCTCTTTGCTTGATTATGCTCCTCTATCTGGATCTAGAACTGATATGACTAGATTGGATTGATACTTAAAAAAAATAAAAAATAAAATAACTAATTAGTATATGCAAAGGAGAAAACTATGAACTAATTTTATTCATGTGTATTTTTGCCCGTGCTGTTACAATTCCTTGCGATAACTGTAGAAGTCATAGAATAATTTCAATCGAATCTGATAGACTGCCAGAGTTCTCAAAGATATTATATTCCTACAGCTTTTGTGAAGACAGGCAGCCCTCCAAGATGAGTGAAATACAGTCCTGTGATCCAATATAAAAGGCTACACATAAGCTCAGTCGTATTATTAGACACACAAACAAGAAGTACTTGAGAATAGATTTCATGGGTCCTACTACTCAAATGCTACCACAGTTGTACACCTTCAGCCTGCATTCTAGCTTTTTTTTTTTTCTCTCTGTCCATGCAGAAACATCAGAAGATATCTTTTTGATACAGCAGTAAACGCGGCTTGTTAACAGTTGTGTTATTTTTCCTCTCACTTAGTGATCAAGTAAAGTGAACTCACTCTTTCGGGTGTTACGAGCAGCGGCTGTAGGATTGGCCTGAGTGGCTGGAGTGGCTTCCCGGCACCGCCGAACGGCTGAAATCCACTGAGTCATCGCACGTAGCAAACTACTTCCCCCGTGCTCTCATTTGGCAACACTAGAGGCTAAATAAAAATTTGGATGGGAATTTCTTTGTTCTGTAAAAAGCTTTCAGCTTTCAAGAGGAACGTGCTTTAAAATTAAGCCTTCTATAATTTGTAGCTTCTTTGAGGCAGAACGGGGGTTTTTATATCACAGAATAATCACGTTATCACAACGAGCTCACTACAGAGAGACTACTGTAAGCCTCTCACTACAAACATTGAAGTCCTTTCTTTAATCCACTCCCCCACAGCACTCTAAATTACCTCCCTCCATCCCCAACTAATGATGCGTCTTGAAACATGGAACAAGGAGAGCAATTCCCAGACTAGATCGTGTGTAAAACCTGTATCGTGTCGTATATTTTCAAGTTATTAATCATCCTCCATTTGCAACGTTGGTTTCACGGCAAGTAGATTAGTTTATTAACTTCTGTACTTCGATAATCCTGGATGCAGCTCTTTTGACTTACCTTTTTTGGAGGCTATTTATTTATCTTATTCAAACAACCACTCACAGGTTATGCAGTGAGAAGCTCTGGTTTAGAGAATATCATATTGTAATATATATACGCTTAATTTCTTTCTACTTGGTTGGCCATAAAAGTATTATAAAGTTTACATAAAAGTATGCAAGTCGTGGCATTTTCTCACTAAGTTCTCCCACATTTCCTGTTTTCTGAACTTCCTCGAAATTGAATGCGTTTCTCATTATTCCAATGATCCGCATGCTGTGCTGCCGGTACCTGTGCCTGCCGTTACCAAACCGCGCAAAGATCGCCTTCCTCCTTCTGTCAGTTACTCTCGTATGCATCCCAGCTTTGTCATAATCACAGGCCCTTTTGGGGGGGGGAAGTTCCTATTCCCTATAGTTCTTGTCTGTTTTTATAGGCGTTTTTAACCAAATAAAAAACCTAAAAAAAAAAACCAAAACCCGCAATACATAACGCTTTGTTGACTTCAAAATGGAGTCTGGACAGAAGCCATTCCTTGGATCCGTTCTCATTCATTCATTAATTTACATTCTATAGAAATCGGGCGAAGAAAAGAGGGACTCACATTTACAAGGAAACCAACAGCATTCCTCCTGTTATTCGGCAGTAAGTCATCTTCCCTGACAATTAGGAGCAGATTCCCACTGTCCTAGTGTAGGTGTCCACTCAACTTCTCCAGTTGAACAATTGACGTCCTGGAAAAGATACAGGTCTTTTGCTAGGCGTGGACATAAGAAAGGGAATTCAGATCGCAGAATCAAAACACACAGATAAGCTTCATTCAGTAAAAAGGTTCAGTCGGGTAACTCAGCAGACTGTTTTAAACAGTTTACTCATTTGCAACGGCTGCAAGCACCCGCTAGATCAGCACAAATGCCAGACCCTGACTCTCGGCCAGTCCCCCGTTGCCTGCCTTGAATACAGTTCTGTTGTGGAGGCAGCGTGTGCCTGCTGGCCCATGTCAAGACTGTCTTTCTCAACTCCCGGAAAATCAGAAACCCCTTTCCTCCTTTTTCACTTTCCCAGAGAAAACATCTCAAAAGCTGATGCGCAATAGACCCCACTGTTAGATCTACGTGTGGGCGCTGTCAGTGCTTTGCTTTATACAGCATCCAGATTTAAAAGGATCAGTGTGATTTACAGAGGTAAGGAGAACCAGCGAACAAATTTACGTAGCGTTATCCAGTTACCTAAAAGACTCTGTGGGCAGTGAGGCCTAAAATCATTGGACTAATCTTTTCTCTTTGACATGCTTTCTTTATGGGAGCAGTACCTAATCCCTTGTTTTCAAAGACTTCTCGGAAATCCAACTTCTTCAGCTTCACTGTTGACTTACTTTGTTACATCTGAAATGTGTGGTTTTAACAAATCCCACTTGTGTCTAATCCTTCCTTCTCAGACAATCCATAGGTCCGGTTACAACAATAACTTGAAAAACTCCGAAAAACAGGAACACAAGCCATGCTTCTCCCCGCTGAAGTCTCGTCATTCGTTTTGTAGCCGTTCATTTGTCTCCTAGCTTTAATACAGAACTCTAATCCTGGACCGTGGCACTCAAAAAGGAGAACGTACAATGCTTAATTATAACAAAGGAACCGATGTCAAGTTATTTTATATCAAGCTTAACTTTTCAAACTGCTACGGGAGAAAGTCTCACTTAGTTCCAAACACAATGCCGCAGCTCACAGAGGTTGGTGCGTCTCGCTGTCCAGGCGAGGCTCCTTTCTCCCAGCGCTACCTACCTGACTGACTCAACTCTGCTTACCCACGCTCCCGAAACAATTATGCTGGGGAGTTAATAGCGTAAGGAACTAACAGAGCCTTCTGGAAGTAACCTTCCGCTTAAAACTGATATGCCTGCTTTCTCAAACAGATGAGGGTAATTAAAGAAAAAAGGGTATGAGTTCTGCGGCCGCTGACTGGGCAAACGCGAGGCAGAAGAGAAGAGATTCTGCTGAATGAGTCAGTGTTTCTAGCCTTCCGAGTTTAGGTGCTTGTTACAAAATGGAATAGTTCTGAGTAGCAAAGATGGTCTTTGAAATTGTAGCTGGCTCCTCTTGGGACAATGCCTCCAAATGCAAAATTATCATACAAATTTGCACGCTAAGGCAGATCTGTAACAAATGCAGTAAAACAAAACTAAGAATGTTTATATAAAAGGGCATTTTCATTTATTCTGATCATTAACAAATGTTCTTCTCAGGTTTCAATCTGGAAAGTTTTACGTAAGCGAAGAGCAATTTGCAAATGATGTTTTAAACCTGTACTGTTTGTCACAACTAGGTTCCACTCAGTCACTTCCTGACTGCGTTAAACGTAATGGCAAAACGTGCCTCTGATTAAATAACTAAGCCCTTGGCAACCGCAATATGCAGCTTATCTGACAACTCCCCATAAACCTGGAAAACTTTTATCCTCTTTTTTTACTTTCTTCTCTTTCAACCAAGGAATTGTTTTCAACAATGCAATTAGAGAGAATACAAGAAATGAGGAACAAAAATTTTGAAGCAATAGAAAAAAAATGTACTTTATATAACTATGTTAGCAACTCAGATATTTGTATATTCAGCATCCCAATCGTTTGTAATTAACTGTGGTCCTCCCATAGTTGTAATTTACCACAGATGAAAATAGCCACGAGTAGGAGAGAATTGCTCTTCAGCTATTGTAAATGAATGCAACTCTTACACTAAGAAACATTTCCCCCAAACATACTATGAGCTCAAATGACAACAGGATATCAAATGCTATCAAACAGGGTATTTTTTCTGGGCCTGTACCTAGCCATACTCGGAACACATTTTTGGTGGCTTAGATAAAATTAAATCCAAGTCCTAATAGTTACTTCTGTGAAATAAAAGGCACTGCAAGTTTTTGTGAAGCAGAGACTTGTTTACCTTGGCCCATCTCGACAACCAAGTGATGAAACACTGCTGCTTCACAAGCAGTTTATCAATTGCATCACACAGTTCGTCACGCTTGGATTTTAAGGTGTATTTTTTCCTTTGTCTGCCCCCTGCCTCCCGTATCCTTCAGGAGTCTCGAAATAAGAATCGTGACTGTGCAGGTCAGAATGACAATGCACTGCTTTCCATAAATGTAATTTCCTGACGACAGCTTACAGCTTCTTGTAAGCGTGGATTGACCGCAATCCACGTAAGGATTCCTCTGCTGCCATCTGCTTCTCAGTCAGGTTTACCTGAACTGATACTCCCAAAGGGCAGATGAGGATCTGAAGTTATGCCCTGTTAGTCTCTTACTATTTAGTGGCGAGGCGCTTCGTACCTGAAGAAAATGCTTGCATCTATTTTCTCAGTTTAAAGCATTTTACTTCTTCCCTTCCCTTTGCCTCCATTTCCCCCTTCCTGGTGATGTAGGCTTTTAATAGTCTTGCTATCTCACACGTGACCTAGTTCCAGGTTCTGC